CTTCTCAGTGCATACACTGCACTTCAGATCAGGTGGATTTTGTGCCACCTTGTTATACTTACACTGGGTGAAGCCCTTTTATTTCAGCTGCCGTCAGGTGGATTTTGTGCCACCTATATCATTGTACATATATATAAGGGGAATCCCTTCTAAGTAAGATCTGGTGGGTTTTTGTGCTACCTTCACCTAAATGTACATATCTGGGTGAAGCCCAGAGAAAATCCCATTTCTCCCTGCTGGGGACTCTGGTATGCTTATACCTCATATTTAATTCAGACACACCCTGCTGGGGTGTTTATACCTTTTATTCTCTATATATACTTATACCCTGCTGGGGTTTTTTTTCCACAAGTACCGCTGGTACCATCATTACTTTGCTCCTTACACTACTGTCTGACCCCTAGCCCTACCCCTGTGCCAAATAATATATTTATATTTGATCTATACCGGTCCCACTCCTAAATATCATGGAAGCATCCCAAAACCCTGCGGACTTCCAGTCAATGATTGCAGAAGCCATCTCCGCCTCCATGGAGAAAGCGCTTTCCAGAGTTATGTCAGCATCAGCTGATCAAACCAAGAGAACAACTCTAGCCCACCCACATGAAGATGATTCCGAGGCTTCGGAGTCACATGCACAAGAGGACTCACGACCCCCCAAGCGCCACTGGAAGGGCGACAAAGGGAGCAATAATCCGGTCAAGGGCAAGGCACCTTCTAAACGCCACAGGCCAGCCCCACCTACTCCTGCCCACTACTCCTCGGATGAGGGGGACGAACACACGCGCTCCATGGCCGTGTTAGACGAGTGGCAAGCCGCGGACTCTGGTTCACAAGATGACAATTGGGATTCGGACTCCGGCTCCCATTCTGGCCTCTTGCGAGGCACCTTCCTGGACGACATCCAGTTGCCAGACGACCTCGCACTTGCTCAAGAAGAGGATACCATCCTAGACCCCACAGGACAACGTCTCTTTGATCCTCGTAATATCCGCCACCCACGCTCTGGGGACTGGACCCCCCCCGACCACCTCTCCAAATTTATGCACCGCTGGCTACGCAAACCACTGGACAAAACGGTGCGCAACCGGCTACGTTCTGAATGCCCGCGCCCCTCGCTCCCCGACCACGTAACACAGACCCCGGAGTTTGATCAGGTGATGAACACCTTTATGTCCCGAGGTGGCCGCGACCCTCGGCGGGGCGTGGAGAAAGGATTCCACGGGGTCCAGGACAAATTGCTGGACTCAATTGGCCCACTCTCCCGCATACTATACCTGGCGGATGATGCGTTCACTAGGGCCGATCAATTCGACTCTAGCATGGTCAAGGAGTGGGCACATGATATCAGGGAATGGGCACAAAGGTGTTTCTGTTTTGTCGGCAACACAAACGTAGCCCTCTCCTCTGAGAGGCGCAAGGCAGCCTTACTCCGTATTGACGGAAAACTGGTGGATTTGGGCACCAAAGAGTTGGGACCGTTGGCACAGGGCAAATTGTTCGGAGAACCCTTCTTAAAGGAGCTAAACAAGCATGTTAACATCTTTACGTCCCTCAATAAGGCTCAGACGTCTATGAAACGTGTTTTCAGAGGCTACCCCAGTCGGGGTGTTTTTGGACGGGCTGGCCGCTACAGGGGCCGAGCAGCCAGCCGATTCTGGCCTTCTGGCCCCCGGTCACACAGACCACAGCCTTTCTACCCGGAAGTGGGCTTCAGACAACCCTTCTCCTATACCCGGGGAGCAGACCGAGGCAGAGGACCTCGTAACCGTGGCAGAGCACGCTTCACCACAGGTAAGCAATACAGTGTCTTTAGGTCCACTTACCCCTTACACTGCAGGCCGTATTGCTCTGTCTTTTCAGAACTGGACGACCATCTCCACGGACGCATGGATCCTCCAGACGGTTCGGGGCTACGTTATCGACTTCATAGAACCCCCTTACCAGCTCGCTCCTCCGCATCCCATTCAATGCTCCGAGGAGGACCGCTGCCTAATCGACGGCGAACTACGGGAACTCAAGGCGAAGGGAGCGATAGAACCGGCTCACGACGGAAAAGGCTTCTTGAGCAACATCTTTCTAGTAAAAAAGAAATCAGGAGAATTCCGACCAGTTATAAACCTGAAGGGACTCAACGCTTTCGTAACGTACAGGCACTTCAAGATGGAAGGCATTCACCTGCTGAGAGATCTACTCCAAGACAGGGACTGGTTTACAAGACTGGACCTCAAGGACGCGTACCTGTCGGTTCCCGTCCATGCGTCTTGCCGCCGATTTCTCAGATTCCTATGGCAAGACCAACCCTGGCAGTTCACATGCCTCCCCTTCGGCCTCAGCTCAGCACCGTGGTGCTTCACCAAGCTTCTCAAGCCGGTGGTATCACAACTACGAACTCAAGGAATTCGGTGCATTATCTACCTGGACGACCTGCTACTATTTTCCTCAGACAGGTACAGTCTAACACAACACACACGATATACCATTCAACTCCTGACGTCCCTAGGCTTCGTGGTGAACTACCAAAAATCGGAACTGGTCCCGGCCCAGACGGTACATTTCCTGGGCTTCGAGATAGACTCCAAGACCAGCACCTTACGACTCCCGCTCTCAAAAATCACAGCCATCAAAAAGGAACTGCGCAGAGTCATCCGCTGCAACACTATTCCACTCCGCAGCCTGGCTCGGATCGTGGGACTACTCTCCGCATCTATACAGGCAATCTTCCCGGGCCCACTACACTACAGGGCAATGCAACGCCTGAAGGCCTCCTTCCTCCGCCAGAACCCCTCCTACGACCAAAACATCCCGGTTACGGAAGAAGTCAGGGGAGAACTCAGATGGTGGTTGGACAGCATGGAGGCGTGGAACGGCCGAGCCATCTTCGGGAATGCACCCGACATAGTGCTGGAATCAGACGCCAGCCTGTGGGGCTGGGGCGCCACAAGCGAGGGCAGATCGACAGGAGGCACTTGGACTTCCCAAGAAACCAACCTTCACATAAACTGCCTAGAACTCCTAGCAGGGTCATTTGCGATCCGCAGCCTGGCGAGAGACCGGACAGACTGCTGCATCCTCCTCCGGATGGACAACATCTCAGCAGTTCGCTACATCAATCGTCTGGGAGGAGCCCGATCCAGGCTCCTCTCAGAGATCACGAAGGAAATTTTCGATTTCTGTCTACCCCGCAAAATCTCCCTGATGGCAGAATACCTCCCGGGAGAAACGAACCTGACAGCGGACTGGTTTTCACGCCACTGGCGGGACAGCAGCGACTGGAGACTGGACCCAGCGATCTTCCAACGCCTTTCGGTCAGGAGAGGTCCCCTCCACTTGGACCTCTTCGCATCACGCAACAACAGGCAGACGGACGAGTACTTCAGCTGGCTCCCAGACCCAGAGAGCAAAGCAGTGGATGCGTTCCTCCAACCTTGGCCACCCTTGGGGGCGTATGCCTTTCCCCCATTCGCCATGGTAGCAAGGACGATGCAGTATCTGAAGACCCAACGCGGATCCCTACTCCTCATCTCACCCCTATGGCAGGGTCAACCATGGTTTCCGGACCTTCTAGCGTCATCCTACAGGGATCCCCTCCTCATACCGTCCTACCCGACACTCCTTACGGATCCGAGAGGGAACCAACACCCGCTCATCCTGGAAGACCGTCTCACGTTGGTGGCTTGGACGCTTTCAGGGGAGCCTGGCAAACCGAAGAGTTATCGCAAACGTCTCGAGACCTCCTATGGGACTCATGGGCACCAGGAACCAGACGATGCTACTTATCGGCATGGAGCTCCTGGTCTACTTGGTGCAGTGAGCGGAATTTCGATCCCTTTACTGCACCTGTAACAGCCATCATGAACTTTCTCTCTCATCTCTTCTCCACGGGCCGATCCTATCGATCCCTCAACGTTGTGCGCTCCGCAATTTCGGCGGCCCACGTGCCGATCCATGTGACCCCCGTCGGGAAAGACCCATTGGTATGCCGCCTCCTCAGGGGCATCAGACTTCAGAGGCCTCCGAAACCTAAATACTCCCGGCTATGGGACGTCGAAAACGTCCTACAGTTCCTGAGGGACTGGCCAGACAACGACAGACTCTCGCTCCGGCAACTATCAGCCAAACTGACGCTCCTACTTTGTTTGGTCTCATTCCGCAGAGTTTCGGACGTACGAGCATTTGACATCGATGCCTTTTCGGTCTCCCCGGAGGGAGTTACCTTCCAAGTCTCACGCCGTACGAAATCCGACTCCACATCGGTGTTCTACCCCTTTTTTCCTACAGAACCACTTCTCTGCGTGGTATCTACCCTACACCGGTACGTAGAGGTCACATCCCGATTGCGGGTCTCCCCTTCGGGCCAACTCCTGGTGTCCTACGTTAGACCACACGTTCCCGTCTCTACCACCACCCTTGCCAGATGGGTAAGATGGATCCTGTCCCTGGCGGGCGTGGAGGAAACCTTCGGAGCCCACTCCGTCCGCGGGGCGGCAGCTTCTTCGGCTTTCACCGCAGGCGCATCCCTGACTGACATCCTACGGGCTGCAGATTGGTCACGAGAATCGACCTTTCGGACCTTCTACTTCCGACCGAACTCGGGGGCAGCCACGTCTCTCCTGCTTCAGCGTTAAAAATGCAAAATATGAAGCCTCCTGTCATGTGGTAAAATTGAAGATTATGCTAGCGCTAGTGTATTTATAATCTTAATTTTAGTAATGACAGGAGGCGAGTATTTTCCCACCCTCCACACCCTTGAGGGATACGGATCCAAGTAAGTATATTTATACTCTGTGTATTCATTACTTCTTCCTTTTTCTTTTTCATCTTGTATGACTCAGACTCGTACCTTATTTAATTAGATCTTTGCGATTATGTACTGTCATATTTATACTAGTTACTTCATCTAGTTTTACATTAGTTCAGCGGAAATTGTGTTGGGAGTTATTACATTATTGCAAACAGTTGCCAGATCAGTGCCTAACCTTCTCCACGTTCTTTTTCAGCATAACTTCGGGACATTACTTCTTACGCTCAGGATGGACACGTTTGGGCCGTCCTTCAGCCACTAGGACTTCGTATTTGGAAAGTCACCCGTTGGTGCATGTTTCAGGACTTTACGTTTCAAGACTTTTTTCCGTTTATTATTGGTTGTCTTTGATGTCGCTTTCGAAAGAGGGGGAGGAGCCTCATCACTGTGATCACTATACCTCCTACTGCATTTTGATTGGTTATGTTTTCACTTTTCTTTACTGCTATGTGGAGTTAGTAAAGAGAGTTATATGCAAAATACTCGCCTCCTGTCATTACTAAAATTAAGATTATAAGTACACTAGCGCTAGCATAATCTTCAATTTTTGTAATAAGTTCAGGTTAGAAAGATATGTCTAAGGTTGTAGCTCAAACTAGATGGTAACTACAGGAACGGATTAGACATAGTGATTTAGAGCAGGAGAGAATAACCAAAATAGGTCATGCTTAGATCGATAGCCTAGCACTTCATGTTAAATTGCACATTGTGAACTATAGGAAGTCCTGTTAGGGACCCGCGGCTACGGAGGACAAGCATAGGTTTAAAATAGTTAAACAGGAGCGATAATCAGAGGAGGAACATATAGGGAAAACATAATAAATACAAACTGGGTCATCTGATTATGTAGCTTTGACAAGTGCAGATAAACAATTAGCGAGTGTGCTAAAACAGCTTATGTGCTAAACAATATATATATTTCGCTGGGTGCCCCGGTAGAGAAGTCAGAGCAGGTTAGGAGTAAGGTAACTCTGTATTGTCAGTCAGCATGATAGTCCTTCAGAGCCTTTCAGCCCACACCACATAGTGGCTTTGGAGGAGAGTGTTTCTCTTTGGGACACATAGCCAGTGTGAGGGCGGTTAGACAAAGTCCGGGGGTGGCTTCCTTCCAGCCCTGTATCTTTGTAGGGGCCAACACCACTGAGCCACAGACTTGGGGGTTCTGCGAGTCCAAGTCCTTCCCGGGAGTAGGATTGCGCAAGGTCCTGATGGTTTTGCGCCGGATCAGGCCGGCAGGCCTTGGTGGCCCTCAGTCTAGGCGGGCATTCTTTGGGGGAGACAGGAGTGTGCACAATGTTATTGCCCAGAGGGGGCCTACCCTGCTCCGTCTTCCGGTTCTGCCTTGCCAGCTTTGCGGATGAGGAGGTGGGGGTAGCAATGTGTGCCCTCAGCTTTACCCAAAATCTGGCAAAGATAGCTTCCAGTGAGGTAATTGAGCCACTTATGTAGCCGGGTTTGTAGGTAGGGTGATGCAGTGTGCCTCATGGTGCAGGTGTGAGTGCGTCCGCCATCTTAGAGTCGGCAGAGTCGCTGTGCAGACTTGAGTTGCCCACCGTGCAGCAGAACAGCAGGAACTGAGATGACCCCCACCGGTCATCTCAGTCCCAGGGTAAGTAACTGTAGCTAGTGGAGCAGGGAGAGCAGCCGTCTCCCCCAAACCCCGGCTTAGTAGGCCTCCGATCGGCGTTACAGACTCCTGGTCACGGAGTTGTCCAAGTGTGATATCTCTTGAGTCAGCAGGTTATCCCCCGGGTGATAGAGGCACAAGAATGTGTGTACCGGTGGAACCCCCGGTTTAGGTCTGAATGTGTCAGAGCTCGCTTTCAATGCGTCTGGTCGGCTTGGTGGTCAAGCTCCACATCCTGAATGTTTGCTGTTTAAAGTTCCTCCTGTCACTATATACTCCTCTTTAATCCTCATCTGTCTCAATTACATTAATTTCTATAGCACCAGCATTTTCCACAGCGCTGTACCACAGGCCAAGCAAGTAAAAAAAAAAACATATAACAAAATGAGAACAGTATATGAAGAGGGCCCTTCCCAAAGAGCTTACAATCTAAAGAGATGGGGGATAAATACATAAACGGAAGTGAGGGAACACTGGTTACAACTGTGGGAATAAGGCACTGTCTTGAACATCCTACGGAATTATCTGTGGAGATCTTGCAGTCTAGCGGGATCCTCTACAGACCTCAGTCTTGCACTCTTGTGCATGTCCACCTTATGTCACCACGGAAGATGCCAGAGCTGCTTTAAAAACATCAAGGGGTTTAGAAAGATTGGCAAATTTAATTATGAATCTCTGTTCAATTCCTCAAGTGGAAATGTAGCAAATATAAGCCAAATGTACAGCTTTTGACATGTACATTCCCTGCCAAAATATCTGACTTCTACAGTTGTACACTGCTGAGACATGCATCATTCACAGATAATTAACACTTCAAGTGATAATCCTTTTAATCACAGTTCCACATAAAATGTAATCACAGTTCCTCAAGAAGACTGTCAGTGAGGATAAAATTCAAATATAACCTTGAATTTATACACAAAGTAAATTACTGTGAGTGTTTAGTACTGTGTTTTGTCTACATAATGCTTTTTGAACTGATAGCTAATGGAATCTGCACCAAGATGAAAACTTATCTATAAACCATTGTCTATCAGAGAGATAGTTTTCAAAAAATAAAATGAAAAGAAAAACATGGTTAAAAAAGACATATATGCTTTTCCTGGTTAAAAATAATTATGACAATGCAAAAAAATAATCTGGTGATAGTCGATGGGATCATATATTATAAATACATATAGACACTTAGTCACAAACACTGGCTAAAGTTAGCGTTCATATTAGTTTTTTGCATTTTTCACATACCAACGGCACTTTCACTGATATTATCATCGTCGTGATACATTTTAATGTTTTAAAACACTCAGATTTGTGTTCAGCAAAGTCTCTCGAGTACAACAATACTCCCCATGTACACGTTTTATGTTTTTTTTGGAAAGTTATAGGGTCAATATGGGGCTTGTTAATTTCAATTTGCAAGATTGGTTTGCTTGACCTATGTTTCTTTTGAGACCATACGGCAGCCCAGGAATGAGCCAGGTTCTTCAAAATGGGGTATGTCCAGTCTTTTTTACTGGTCACTTAGTCATAAACTCTAATACAAATTAAGTTACAGCGCACACATAAAAATACAAGTATAAATCTTATCAGGCTATCACGTCATGACAATCACATGAATGGGAAAGGCCAGATCAGCCACGGGTGGGAATACCTGGGTTGTAAGGCAAGTCCTCCCAGCGCGATCGTCAGCGTGGGACTGTCAGGGGACAGTTGAGTATTGAGGACATGCTATGACGGACGGCAGCATTTAGGACTGCATAGCATTCCCATCGTCCTTAGGGGTTTAAAGAAAGATGACTTTATACAAGTAGAAGTTAGTAGATAATTAATAATGATAAGGGGAGGAAAAACAAGAAAACTGAATAGAGAATTGCTCCATTCCCCTCTCTGCAGCCCAATCTAGACTTCAACATACTAGACTACCTAAAATAAGCTACATAATGTTAAAGAACCCCAGTGCAATAAGTGGAAGAACAAGAAGAGAAAAACCCTATTTAACTGTGGATGAATATGGCTGAGCCTTATAATCAAGTACTAATCAACCGTCTAAGATTAACTTTGACAATATAAGGAGAATATTTTCTTAACAGTGAATAATTAATTTCATGCATTCCCAGACACATACGTCTAGGTCTGCATAAAATACTCTCATCCAAGCGATCATCAAGTCATGCCTTGTTGGGCTAATTTCACAAGTGTTATGATCTCCAACGCTGGCCCCTTGTATATTCCTGGCTGAAGATGGACTGATTGCTAGAAGAGGAAGTGCGGAGAGTGGTGGCTGAAAGATGTGAAGAGTGGCTGAGATCGTGCTTATTGGTTGCTCCTGCCCATTCTGGTCCCGTCAGAACAAAAGATGGAAGGCTATCAAGCTGTTCAATCAAGAGGCACGGCATCATCAATATGAACTGAATAATGACGTAAGCGCAATGACATCAGCATGACACCCCAGTTATATGAGCATCAGACAGGAAAAAACCCGGCTGTCTGGCAAAGTGAGGGCAAACTACTCCAATCACAGAAAACACGAAAGTTAAAGATATTGCTTTGGAACTGAAGAAAAGAAGATTAACTAAAGATGCTGTGGTTCTCATGGAGTTAATTTCAAATATTTCAAGAAAGAGAGCCTGCGTGAAGACCCTCCCAATGGACCTGATGCACAAAAATGTGTCTGGGCTCAATATATGGTCTCACACGCCAAGCTAGTAAGAAAAATAAAATACAAAAATCAAAAGTAAATTAAAAACCTACATTTGCTCAGAGACACTTGAAGGACCAACAACCTTCCGCGGGCACAGAAAAAAACCCACAATACTAGGTATATATATATATTTTTTTCAATTCTTTATTTTTCAGTGCCGGTTTAATGATACAGACTTAGTATGGGTATGCCACAACAGCAATTGCATAAAATATATCAGTGATCGAAGCATCCTGCCATTGGAGCTAAGATTATCTGTGCACATTTTTCTTATATAGGGCTAGGTAGTCGCAACAATGTGATCGCCCGTGCCAGTGGTGGCTTTAGTTATTATAGCTAGTGTGGATTTAGTGGGTTGCACTGATGGTGATATGGTACTGGTACAGGAATTGCGCTGGTAAGCTTCCTGTTCCTTTTGGCCATGCGGTTTGTATAGAGTTGGATACTAGTAAGGGCTAGGAGTTTGAGATTCATCTATGTGTGAGTGACTTATATTTCAGAGTATGGGTGTCTGTGCTGTTATAGGGCTGGGTTATTTGAGACTGTGGAGGAGGTCTATGTGATTTAAAAAGGTTGGGCCATTTTGACGAGTATGTGCTCCATCAGTTGCTATGCCTCGTAACCCTAAGGCATTAGGGTGGGGGAGGGGGGGGCAGGGTCAGTGTGCAGCACAGGATAATGCATCACATGCCGGTGTAAGAGATGAGAGCCTAAATAAAGACAGGTTATACATGACTTGGTGTAGTAAGTAGAACATGAACCTTAAGCATTAAAAACTTATATAACAATAACTGGAGGTCTGTTGTGCGGCCAGTCCAGGCTTCATGTCACGGGTCCTGGGTGCGGAGTGTCCACCCCTATAGCATTGTTGGAGAGTCCCAGTGTGGTCAGCAAGGCCGGTCCTTCTTCCACGTTGGTGATTTTATAGTGTTGTTCACCTTTGGTCACCCACAGCATTCTGGAGGTTGCCCATCTGTATACTAGATCTGCTGCTTGCAGGGTAGTGGTCACAGGCTCTTGCGCCATGATAATGTGTCTCTGCATAAGTCCTGGAAGAATGTGATTTGATGTGTTTCAAAGTCATAGGGCACCTT